TGCAGAGCTTCCTATTCCTGCAGCGCAAGTCTGTGTAATATTTCTTATTGACAGACATGCACACTGTGTGTTTAACACAGCTGCCTTCTTGTCATTAATGTGTGGGGCTGTCCCAAGGGAAAATCTCAGCCATTCTACAAGGTCTTTTATGCTCCTAGCAGTTCATGCAGGAGTGTGGGAAGCTACTGGCTGAACATTCTCCAACACTGCAGCATCAAAATCTTTTCCATGATGTTTGCAAATATGAAGAATTCATGTTTTATTGGTGAGGTAAACTGGGAAAAAAAATTAAGGCATTTTCTGTACCAGCGACCAAAAAAGAGCAGCTGAACCAATATGAAAAGAGTCAACTTAACAGAAGCTCATACAATTCCATTTTTCCATCAGCTACCATGCTATACAAGTAACAACAATTAAGCTTAGGCTGTAGTTGACTGGGCCTGAACTGAGACAGGCCAAGTTTTCCTCACCACTCCTTTCTACTGTGGCTTTAGCAGCATTATGTGTTACTGAAAGCAGGAGTAGCCATGAATCTGACTCCTAGAGAGCCAACATTGTGCCAAACTGCAGTAGCAGAGTCATAGGTCTGAATGTAGGAGACAAGACCAGAAGGTACGGCTTTCCCAATTATCACTGTAGAATTTATCCAGTGCACCCTCCTCTGGCATAGATCCTCCATCCTTGACAAGTTCCATACTTCCTACACATACAAATGCCCATCAGCTTCTACCTGTCCCTCCTTTGTGCGAGCATGGCGTTCTGTCCATTGGGGAGAGGGTGATGGGAAATTGGAGGAGAGACCTTGGCGGCCGAAAACGAGGTAGAATTGGAGGTGTTGGTGCTGAGGTCAAGTCCCTCTTGCTTGATACCCTCTTCTACAGGCTGAGTAGCAGTAACCTCTTTCCACAGCTGCTGGAGGTCTGAGGGACACACAGCTTCACACATATTGGAAAATGCAAAAAGAAAGAAAAAGAAAAAAACAAAAACAAAAAGAGAAAGGGTAAAAAAGAGTCAGGTTCTCAGAATGCATAACAAATGAGCCTTAAATAATTGAAGATGTGGTTTTCCAGTTTAGTTTAGTGACACAAAGAGATAATTTATGCAAGTCTCCAACCTAATGATAGTTCTCCTCACAACTATTCTGTAATATTCTTAATTGTGGCATCCAAGTATCTAACAGGGCTTAATTATCTTTCAGAGCAGGACTGGAGATATTTGAGAGTTATGTGGTCTGTAACCAGAATCTCAATTGTCCTGGAGGATTTGTAATTTATGATGCAAAATGTATATTTAGAATCAGAGAAAAATTAAGGTGAAACTAATCTCTGTTCTAGATCTAAATTGTACACCTTTGCTTAAGAACACAAGAAGTGACTTACTACTGGGTTGAAACAAACTTACTACTGGGTTGAAACAAACTGAACTTAGTACACCATTATTTAAAACAAGGATGAGTTTTGTTAGAAACCACACCTATTGTTGGGCTGCAATTCCTAGTTGTTCTAGCCAGCATAGCCAGTGTTGAGGAACGCTTGGAGCTGGAGTTTGACAAATTCTAGAGGACTGTACATTTCCCACTCCTGATTTAAAAGAATAGTTAGGAGAGACATACTAGAAATTTCCTAGTGTACTGCTCTCTGTTTTGTACTCATTCTCAGAGTGGATGTTATAGTACTTTAACCGGGGGGGGGGGGGGGGGGG